GTGGCACTTGTTACTACTAGCTTCTTGTTACTAGTAAGGCACTTGTTGCTACTAGCGATGCACTTGTTCCTAGTAGCTTATCTGCACATCGAAGTAGAACACCAGACCCACCGATCCCTTGGACTTCCGATGGTGCCTGCGGCCAAGTGTGAGGCGCGGCAAGACCTGAACATGCGCTGTGCGCACCTGTGTGAGAGCCACAGCAAGACCCGGACACGCAAAACATGGCGTGTCATGTGCGTCATCTTTTTTGTGATGCAAGATGGTAAGGCAAGTGGCAAACAAAGCAAACGAGTCCGGTCTTCTTCCTTGTCGTCTTCCTTGCGTCATGGAAAACGCACAAAAGACGGCTCTGCGCCCAACGGTCGCGCTCCGCTGGCTGACTCTGCCCTCATGCGGCTGCTGAGAGCTATGATGAGCATTTCCCTGCTGCGCTGCCACATGCAGAAAGACCACCTTGAGATGGTGCAGCTGGTCGAGGCCATGCCTGCTGTGGTATTCCTGTATTCCATTGTGTTGGACTCATCTACCATGCAGTTTGTTCCCCCAAAAAGGCACCACCGTCTTCACAGTGGCTCTCCACTCCCATAAGCCCCTATGACGGCGCTATGAGGGCGCCATGAGAGCACATGAGAGAGGTTTTCCCGGACCTGGCGGTCCAGGACTGGCGGACGGCTGACATGATTCTGCTTTGTCTCCCTTGGTCTCCTTTGGTCTCCCGTGCCTCTTCTTGGCTGGGGCCGCAAAAACCGACGCTGGGTTTGCTGGCAAAAGCAAAAGAAGTCATCAGTGATCATCAGTGCATCACCGAGGCCAAGCTTTCTCCAACAATAGGTGGCCAAAAGTGTGCGACACTCGCTGAACTCGGCGTTGGGGTGAGCAGTTTGTGGCGCTTCTTTGTTGCAGTTGTTGTGGTGGAGGTGGTGGCTCGTGGCTCGTTGATGGATATTGGTTTGTTCTCTGGATGCATTGGCATTTTGGCATTTCGCTGTGTTTCTGGGGCTGTCCTCACCCCGGAAGTTAGGAACCGAACCGTTTCCTGAAACGTGGTTCGCTTGTAAAACCCACTGGTTTGCTTACGCACGAAACGGAACGCCAGAGAGTACGAAGCATTTTGCACGCGAAATTATGCGCATGCGATGTCGCACGCATTTCTCCCACCAGGACCCCTTCCAGAAGCGTCTCTTGACCAAAAAAACTCCCAGAGACACCCGGTCTTTCAGACCCCGCCCCGTGTCCAACGCGACCTCTCGTTGTCGCTCCTGTCGTCTCCGAAACACTACTAGTAAGGCGTTCGCGCTCCGTTCGCGCCGCTCCGCTCTCGCCTCCTCAGGTCGGGAAGGTCTCGAGACGTCGATGTCGTCGGCCTCCATCCACGCCTGCTGTGCGGCGCCCTACGTGTCATCGTGCTGAGTAAAAAGGCACCCTTTCAATTACATTAAATTTAAATTAATAGCTTCTTGTTACTACTAGTAAGGCACCTGTTACTACTAGCGAGGCACTTGTAATTTCTAGAGGTTTCAAGAAACAGGATGGTCAAAGATGTCTGACAGTTACTCATCGACAGTGCTACACTCCACTAACTATCACGTGTGAACAAACGCGGCTTCTTTCTTGCGACTCTTGGGCATGTTCATCAACAGAGACTGGAACAACTGAAGAGTTCACATACTGTATCCGAGGGGGTCTTTCTCGTTTGGCCTCACACCTTGTCAATACGAAGACTATTGTAAGTCCGCTTGCCAGGACCATGCTGGCGGCACTGACCACGATCGCGAGGGTGACCCCATCCTCTATCCAGTACATGGCAGCAAAGGTCGCGGAGAAAAATGTGTGCACTGTCCTGTGTGCAAGTGCAAGTATACTATTGAAGCACCTTGTCAAGCATGACTCCCTTCATCATAGGATGTAGAAACTCTCGGCTCGTGCCGCTCCCAACTTGAACCTAGAAGTGTCGTCGCAGAGGCGCCTAGAAGTGATCTTTCGCCCCACTTCAATCCAGTTTTGCGTGTGGCTGTTAGTAACAAGTGCATTACTACTAGTAGCTAGAAGCTACTAAGCTACTAGTGACAAGTGCAAAAGCTATCAGTAACAAGTGGCCTCGAGAGCGCAGAAGCGTACGATGCGTTTTCACGCCCTCAACCCCCTGCCTCAAAACCGAGCTCCACGCTCCAGTCTGCCGTCTTTGTTTTCCGCGGAAGCGCCGCGCCGTTTCATCGGGGGGGCAGCAGCCACCCTGATCCAAAGAAACCAATGTAACCAGAAAAGAAAATGGCAAAATGCACAAGGGCGAGAACCAGCGGTTGGTGTTTGGAGAAAAACACACATACCAACATGCCGACATCTAGGCATGACAAATGCCTCCACACAAAGCCACAAAGAAAATACAAAACAATAATAAACATAATTAAAGAAAAACACGGAGAGACCCTAGCAGAACCACATGCTGCGCAAGAATTGCATCTCCATTAGCGCATGGCTGATGCTTGGCGGAATAGGGCGGTTGTGGGGCCTCGCAATCAACAATGTTTTCCAAACTTCGGAATGCGCAAATCAAGGCAACGTTCGCAGCCATCTCTTTGGGCTGCGACAGCAACGGCGCCGGTTGGCGCGTCGTTACAAAGTGAGGCACTCATATTCAGCTTGAAAGTAGGGTTGAGACATTCTCCAAGATCCAGTTGTACAAAAGCAATTGACTCAACCATCAACCCATCATCCATTCAGTCTAGAAAGCCCTTCATCCAACCAACGGCAACGGCGTAGGATTCATCGCTTCACTTCATTGCTTCTCAGCGTTCACCTCGAGAGCTTTCAATCAGTGTTCAAATGGCTTTCAGAACCTCCCACAAACACTGCCCTTGATGCATCAGGGGGCGCTTTCAGTGTGGAAATGGTTTTCAGCTATTGTTATGAACCTTGGAAGCGCGCCCTGATGCATAGCCAGAGCCTCCCACAAGCAATCACAGTACGTGAGTCACGAAATCCCAACAAAATCCAGAACTTCCAACTAAGGTTCTATGACCCTCAACCTGTTCAGGTCTAGCCTTCCGAAAGGCGAGTTTCGTGCGTTCCAACTTGGGCTTCACCGAGGCCATCTGGGGGCTCCACATCTCATGTCTTGTCGCGCAGTTCGCGCGCGCAACCGCGCATGAGCGCGGCACCGCGCCTCCGGGCGGCGGCCTCCAGGGCCTTTGGGACTCCTGCCAGGATCACCTGAAGACATGAGAGTCCCGCCCTGTTCGTCCACTGCAAAGAGCGACTGGAGTGCAGTTCGCTGCTTGGACCCACATCACCACCGTGTTTTTTTTGCGACTGTCGTTGATGACGTTTGGTGACGTCGAATGCCCAGCGCCCAGGCCTCTTGGAGCTTCCCACACAAGGGCGCCCAGGCGATCGCCTCGCCTAAGGCAGCACCCACATCTCCTGGATCGTCACTCCACCGCATGGTGCACTCTCCACACGAGCTTTCAGGTTTGTTAGACTGTTAGACTTGACAAAGACAGTCAAGACGTCGTGACCACAAAAAGCCAGTGGACAACGCAAAAAATGAAACATGTTCTTCTTTTCATAGCGCATTCGATTCCTGTCGAAGCTTAAAGATGTGTTCACCAGCAAGCTACCTACCTGGCGGTGTACAGTCAGTCCAAGGACCGAAGTGAGCATCTTACCAATAAAAACATGAGAAATGTGAAAAACAACACATAGCTAGCAGCTAGTTTGTGCTTGACTTCTGCTTTCAGCACCTGAACCTGACCGAAGTCCCTCGCCAAGACCATGTTGTCCACTTTGTTGACAACATGGAGACAACCAAAAGCAGCTCGGAGCTCCAAGTTGCCCCAAACCACCCATCCCAAAACACGTGCAAACACGGGAAGGCACGGCCGTGGCCTGGATCGTTCTTGAAGACTCCGCACCCCAGGCCAGGCACCACGCACGCGCTGGCACCGCTCATGGCGGCCTTGGAGCTGAGGCGGAGGCGGAGGCGTCCGAAGGCCCCGCGGTGAGTGCCAGAGGAAAAGCGTGGAAGCGGCTCCGCGAAAGCCCGTTTGAGAAGAAAAACACCATTCTGCTGGATGGAGATGCATGAACATCAAATCAAACTGAAAGCACCATTGTGTAGTTCCCAAGCACCGGCTATCCTCAATTGCATGCAATAGTATAGATATATATATATATGTATGGTCTTTGTGAGTCTTTGTTTAAGAAGAAAAGCACCGAACCGTTTCGGCATCGGAATGCCTGAATCCCTCCACCGCCTCGAATCCAGGACCGCCTCGGCCATGCCAAGGCACGGCGCCCAAGGCCACCTTGAGCTTGGCCACCAGCAACGCTCGGTACCTCCGGTACCGCCGGTTGCGTCGAAGCGACGAAGCTGAGTGAGAAAAATGTGAGAGACTAAGAACATCATGCAACATCTCTAACCCTCTCTCCAACGGAAGTTGGAAGACTGCTCTTCTCTCCCAACACATTTGTCAAGTGGCTCATCAGGCGACTCAGGAGCATCCAACGGGGAGTCCTGCGACCCGCAAACCGCACGGCTTCACCCGCAAACGGCCCGCTCGCACGGCCCCCTGGGTTCAGGGAGATGAGCATGGTGCCTTTCTGTCCAAAGCGATGCAAAAGACTCCACTTGAGGATCAACTAGTGGACCACAGTTGCACCGTTTAGAGCTGGCGGAGCCGAAGAAAAGACGGTTTCCCAGCCCAAAGACATGAGTGGATCGAATCGATCGAGTCTGGATTTGATCAACAAACATTGCTTCGCTCAAACAAAGCTAAAAGCAACACAGCACGTCACTCGTCCAACACCAAGAAGTCCCCGTTTGCATCATCTCCCTAAGTGCCCCAAACTCTACAAGGCACTTCTTCCAGGAGTGCCCGGGACCCAGCCTCTCCCCTGACCGGCTTTAGGGACTTCCAGCGAGAGCAGCGATCACTCCGCGAGCGCACTTCGCGCGGTGGAAGAAAAACCGTCGCTGTCCGGACGACGGGACGCGACGGACGGCCCGGCGCCTTGACGTTGGGGTTCTTGTTGGGCATGGCCACACTGACCACGGACGCCAACTCCTTGGGCGCGAGCGGGCGCGGCCAAAGGCGAGGGCAAGTCACGATAAGCAAAAGTCGGGCCAACTGTGTGGAATGGGATTGGCATGGAATGGGGCATCTGGCGATGTTCTGGCAGACTTCTTAGCTTTTTGGACAAGCTTCCACAGGGCTCGGCAGAAAGCCATAACCTGCCAAACTGAAACTTGCGGCATCCAGAGATGCAAATCAGCCAAAGTGACCGCCTCAAGCCAACCCACCTCAGCAAGCCAACCAACCTCTCAGCCTCTCAGCACATCGCTCTTCAAACACCACGGGGTCACTCGAGTCACCGGTGAGTCACGTCCGTCCCGCAGTCTTCCATCGCCTTCCGCGGAGCCCTTGCGGAAGACCTCCACCTTGGGGCTCAAGATCCCACCGGTCTCTGGGATGTAGCAGAACCACTCGCTCCTGCGCTGGCGCTCACAAGCGAGCCATCGCCATCGCCATCGCCGGCGTGCGCGTGGTCGGCGGGAGTGGCTGAAGGTCACTCGCACCGACCAAACCCTCAGCGCTCCTTTGGTCGCGCTTCAAGCGTTCTGGCACGGACACCTTGGCGCAACACGCCGACATCATGTAGCTGGCCAACGGGGGTGGCATCCTGAGGACATGTCATGGTGATCGAACACAATAAAACCTCCTAAGCCGCACAGCGCCAACGAGATCGCCCGACACTTTGAGAGACAGCGAAAAGGAAAGAGCCAAACTCTTAAGACCACAAAATGTGTTCCATGTTTCACAGAGTCACTCCAACCTGCTTGGGGTTTTGAAGGATCACTGGGGGAAAAGACCGACCAACGCATCGAGCCCAAGAAATTCGATCAACCCGCGCTGAGGCCCCCTGGCTTGAGCGTTTCCATGTCTGGTGGCAGGAACGAAAGCAAGAATTTCTTCCACTCAGTGGTGACATCACTACTTATGATCTGCTACATGGAGAAGGCACTCATTCAACAAAACCAATAAGACCAAATTGGCAGATCCGAATTGAGGAGAAGTAGAGCGTAGCGGTACCCACAACAACGAGCACACGCCTGGAGATGTAGAGCGCGCGCTGCAACGAGAGGGACAACGTGGATTGGACGCACATCGACTCCTCCAAGGCGTGCCGCCCACCAGTGCGGAATCCACCGCACGGATGGTAGGCCTCAAGCACAACGCGGTGCGGTGGCAGCGTTTCGAAACCACGCCAAAGCCATTGGAATGTGTGAAAAATCATGCCTGACCCAAAGAAGCACGGGATCTTAATGGATCTCCCAAAAAGTTATGATAGTGTCAATTCGATTCTCTCTACCTCCTCCTACAGAAAGCAATCCTTCAAATGTCTCACTGACTAGTCTTCACCAAGATCTCGCAAAAGGTACAGACTCTGCGAAAAAAAAGAGACATGACCATCACATGATGGACACACGTTTTCATACTGTTCAAACCTTCTCCTCAGACCTGGGCGGCCCCCCACTGGGTACCGCAGCTCGGTTTCCCCCTGGGCGCCCCCGGCGGACGCCGCACTCAGCACCGCCACCCGCGCGCGGCGCTCCGCGAGCGCCAGCGCCGCGTCCAGCGCTGTGCCCTGCGCGGCGGTCGTCAGCCGCGGCGGCGCGGGCGAGCTGAAGAAGCCCCGGCTCGGGGGGCCCAGGCGCGCGGCCACCTGGATCCATACGCCAGGAAGACCTTGTTGGAAAGTGAAAATAAAGGAGCCAAGAAAAGCAAGAAAAGGAAAATATGAAGAAGGAAGTGCCTTGCCTTGAAGGACACATATATTATATATTACATAATGATACATAATGTATGTATATATGATATGATTCTACATCATACGTCCGAGCCCAGCCTCCTCCAGGGTGAGGATCTTTGTTCCTGCCAGGCGCTCTTCGGTCACTGATGGTCCTTTTGCACTTCGGTTGAGTCTCGTTCATAATAGTCCAAGTACAAAGAAATACCAAGAATCATAAATAGACTCTCAAGTATACTCTCAACAATTCCCGACATTGGCCCCTTGCCAAACCTCCAAACCTCTGAGATTGCCCACCTTCTGGCAATCTGAACCTCAAGTATTTCGACTTGCTCTTCCAACGGAAAGACTCTTCCAGCAGAACCCACTCATGAGGAAGGTCTCCGGTCTCCGGTTTCGAAAGAGCCTTCTCTCATCCCATTCCCGCCGCAAAATGGCGCCTTCAACCATCATATCCGTATGCCTCAAGGGCACCACACCACCCGCTGAGAGCTGATATCCACAGGCTCGGCAGGCCTCGCCGAACCGGGACAACGACGGCTTTCTGTTTGGAAGCGAAGGCTTCAGACCCTGTGCCATCCAGGCCGAGCCGGCTGGAGTTGCAGAGACAACCCCTGAGAGGCCTATGTCGCCGAGCGAAGCATTGAAAGAACCTTGTGAGGTCTCCTGCCTTCAGCGTCAGCGTGGCCGTCTGCGCACGCAGATCACGATCTTCCTGCGGAGGGGGAAAGGCTCTCAGGAGACTGTGACCGTGTCAGCTGCTGAGATTCCAAAACATCTCATCCATCAGTTCCGAAGCAAATTCCGCAAACGCCGAAGCACAAACCTGCCAAAGAAAAAGAAAAGACATGGATCCATGCTTGCACAGCTTTGGGGCCTTCTCGTTGGCCGTTCGAATCCAATCGAAGCTTCCATTCCTGGAAGGGTTGAGGCTTCGAAGTGACCGTTTCATCTGATCTCTCTTTAGATCCAATTTAGTATAATTTAGCCAGACACACCTGAATCGGGGCAACAGGTCTCTGAGGATCTGCCCCATCCAGGTCTCTGGGCAAAGCATTTCGGGTCAAGCCATGCTGGCCATGCTTCGATGCCCCACGCCCCACCGAGCTCCGCCCGTCGGAGTCTCAGTCGCGCTGGCCCCCGCCTGGAGTGAAGCGCTGGACCAGGTTTCACCTGTGGTACTTGAACTCCCGCCTGGACGGGCGCTCCGGCGGACTACGCGTGGACGGGCGACACTGGGCGACACAGTTCCTCTTCCCCACCTCCTCCGCGTCTGGATCGCCCGGATGGCTCTGCTCCACGAAATGCGTCGGGTTGCCACGGTTGCAAGCGTCTCCGAACTTGCAGCCTAGGGCGCTACTAGGGGCTCCTGGCATCGTTACTAGTAACAAGAAGCTACTAGGGGCTCCTGGCCTTACTACTAGGAGCAAGAAGCTACTAGGGGACGTGCTACCACACGATGCAACTGGGACGTGCACCTCCGGTTTGGGTGTCCGCCCCACCGGAGGGACCACCTGTAGACACCTAGTCTAGGCATCCGGGCGTGGGCGCGACACCGGCTGCGAGGAGTAGGTGGGCACCTCCTCACGTGCGTCACTCAGGAGTCACATGGGGCAGATGAATGAGCTTGCCCGGCCAGAATGCAAGCCGGAAAAGGGAAGAACCAAGATCTTTTTTGAGTTCAAAAAAAAACAGCTCTTTTTGGTACTACCGGGTGAAATTCAGTGTAACTCCCCTTGCGCTCCACCCGTCCCGGCGCCCGAGGAATCTGACCAGGTGCACTCCACCCTTCGGTCTTTGACAACCTCAAACCAAGCCATCAACATCCCTGCTCTATATCCCAAACGCATGTGCCCCTGCCATAATGTCTCTACTAGCCTTTCCACTCACACAGACCACCTAATACCGCCCGCACTCCGTGAAGTAGCTATGCTTGGGGGATGCCAAGGTCAAAGTCCCATCCTTAGAGGAGCCAAATGATTCAAACCGAAGCCAAATGATGCCCCCCATGACCCCCCAGATCTCTTGGTTGAGGACACGTTCTTCACAAATTGCCCCCAACTGAAGAGTGACACCCAACTAGGAGTTGCCAAGGAAGGCACTCTAAAATCCCAAACCTGAAGGAATCGAAGCCCAGAAGAACCCAGAAGAACCTGAACTCCTATAGGTTGGAGGCCAATGATTCTAGGTTGGAGGCCATTGCTGATAAGTTGGAGGCCATTGCTGATAAGTTGGAGACCATCGCTATTAGGACGGAGGGTGTCCAAAAATCTTTCGAAACTTCCGAGCTCTTCCCAACGTCTCTGCCACCCTACCAGGCCCTACCAAGCCCTACCAATTCATTGCCCCAACTCTGGCGCCGGGCGGCAGAACTCGAAGCCGGCACCTGGAGAAGACAACGTAGAAACCAACCGCTCGAGCCGGCAGAGCGACTGAGCGGCTTTGGTTGCTTTGTGTGGCAGATTTCACTTTCAGAGTACGCCTGGTGTTGGTCGACTCGGCGTTGAATGTGTAGCAGATTGCAGAAAAAGAACACAAATATAGAAACACGACTACATGTCTGACCTATCTGTTGTGCCACAGATAGGCTGTTTGTCCATCGACAACTCGACTCATTTCCACTGGTGGTTGAAGTCTTTCAGAACTGTCCATCGATTCCAGCAGTCTTGGACTTTCCCAATTGCAGCATTTTTGCAGGGAAGAAGAATTCAAACATATTCAAACCATATCTCCACCCACCCACCGGCCTGTTGAATCGAGTCAAATGGCCCCTTGTCGCGGCCAGCCTAAGCCACGAAGGGATGGAAGGTCCAAAAGGTCAAAAGAAAAGACCGACGCCAGCTACACCCGTCCTTTTTTGCGCGATTGTTCCCACAAAAAACATCAAAAAACACCTGAAATATCGTTTGTCCAGAGGAAGGTCTTTTTCCGTCGCACAGAAGAGATGAGGCATACTTCATGAAAATGGTTCACCTTCACAACCAAGCCCTCTTATCACCCATCCCTCTTCCTCATCATCTCAAAAGGGGCGCGCCCGGACCGACTTGACCAACCCCCGACCCCTTCATACCATACAGAGCCATACAGTCGGGTCCGGCACCTACTTGACTTAAGCAGTCCACAAGCATCTGTGCCAGATCTCCAGATAAGCAGCTACCCACAAGAATCCAGTAGTAACAGGTGCCTTACTAGTAGTAACAGGTGCCTTACTAGTAG